CCAAGCATTGGGTGATGTCCCAAAAATCCCTTGCGAATTAGACAAAATATGACTTAGATCATCCGAACATCTATGCCTTTAAGAATTAAAATTGTATGTGTATCGTCAACGTCTCAATATTTTGAGTCATTTCCTGCGAAGTGCATAATTTTATTCTGCTAAAATAACGTGGTTTGATAGAAATACAAAATCATACGACGAGACAATACTCGCAATAACAGAGAAAAACATGTCCGTCTTGATCTTATCATGTTAACCAAACCACTCTATACTTTTATATATTTGTTGATTGATTTGACTTATCTGATGTACGTATGTCTCTAAACATTGGCAAGTGAAACGGCACTCAGACTGTTTCGGTTACATATTTATGTGACAACATCACTTGACTCGTTGAAGTCAGAACGCCTACATAAACCTTTGCAAATATTTTTCTTTTATGTGTTTATACAAAACTTTGGCAAAATGATATGTCATTATTTTGTAGATAAGTTGCTAATAAAGTGATGAAAATATGGATAACATGCGTGTCCAACAGTTTGTCTAAGTCTTAATGCAATGTAAGATTTTAGGTATAAAAAGAAACAACAACGTCAAATTAAACTTACCTGATAAACCATTTAAATGCCGAATGCAAAACCAAGCCAAGTTTATTTTGTTTTTCTAGAAACTTCATAATTATTTGAGACTGCTTTTGTTGCATTAAGGTAAACATGTGCTGAAAAATCTGCATCTGCTCTTGCTGCTGCTTAGTTTGTTTCACCACGACTTTCATTATATCCTGATGTTGTTTTGTTGATTTATCTTCTCTTTTACCCTCAACTTCAACTCGTTGCTTTTGCAGCTGCAGTTCTTCTTCTTTCCACTTCTGAACAAGATCATTTTTTGCGCAAATATGCAATTGTGTCATCTCCACTTCTACGACTTTTTTGCTTTGGTTACACGTTCTCCTCCTCTTCATTCCGTTGCCTTTTCTGTGTTCCGCTCAGGCTTTCTAGCGCTCTGTTTCTCATTTGCGCTGCTTTTGCATTGTCAGCTTTCTTCTTCTCGTTTTCTATGGTGCCTTCAGCTGCAGCTTCTTTTTCGGCTATTTCTTCCAGAGCCTTTTCTACCTCACTCAAATCACATTCAATTCCACTTTCCCTCTCTTCGTCTTTCATCTCTGCTTTAAATTTCTCACTCAGAAGTGTGCATCTTTCTCTAAAAGCACGGTTACTGACTTTGGATCGGGGAAATTTAAGGCCGTTCAGATTGTTTGCAATTTTTCCTAGATTTGCCTTCAGAAAAGCTTCCTTTCCCCTACTTAAAGGGTTTAAGCTCTAAAATTTCTTGACACAAGCAGTTATCATGTTCCTCGGTCCACTCAATATTTGATCTGAAAAACCACAATAATGTCTTGCTTCAGCGAGTTTTTTCCTTAAACAAACTCGGGTAAATTATCTTGATTAAAATTCTGAGTTTAGTTTTAATATTCATCAAGAATATGAACCGAAAATAACTTACTGGACTGTTTCCTTCGAACTCGTCTCAATTTAAGCTTATTTGAGTCACGAACTTTTGGAGCTGTTTTGAAGGAGAAAGAAACTTAGGTCAGTCTTCGCCTTTAAATGAGTTCTACAACCGTTTACATTTGTCACAAGCTAAGAAAAAGTTTGACAGCTCATCATATATTGAAAATATACGATAAATCCATTTGAAATGACCTTAAAATAAGAGAAACTTACTCATGTTTTAGACACTTCGTTTTGACGTCGCATACAACACCACTGAACTACGGCGGGGAACTTCGCACCACGCCTACCGGAAATGCGCAAGCAAATATTTTAAACTTCCGCTCGCCGTCCTAGGATCTAAAGGTCCCTATTATTGACAAGAAATGCGCGCGAGAGAAAATGGGAAGGTGTCTGCTCTCCTTCTTATCCCTACCCGACATTCCCTTCTTCGTGCTGGTGCAAGTCTGGTGCAAGTCATGGCGGACGACGGTGACCCTGTATAAAGCGATTAGTCGTCAAAGTCCTGAATTTATTTTACCTTAATCGCTGTAGTTTTCATCTCTATTAGGCGGTCGTGGTCACCCTTTACTAAGTCCCAACGGCCTGTT